TAAAGACATGAGTTTTTTTGGAGAATAGGATTTCAGATTTCTCTGAACATCCCTGAAGTTTACCTCTTTGTTGCCATTGTCTTCATCATCATCTGATTGTGCCATCAAAGCAAAAGTTGAGTCATATCCAATCTCCTCGCCTTCAACTGCCATCATGGAACTATCACCAGTATTAGGTTTATCTTCAGACTGTTTTACTTGTGTAGTTCCCTCATGAGCTGTTTGCAAAGCTTCCCATATCTCATTGGCAGTGTCGCAGGTAGAGATTCTATTGTACTCTTTAGGTTCCATTCAACATACTAGAATTTTCTTGGCACGAAAATTCTTCTCCACAGCTTTCTTGTCTGCTTCAGTGCATTCTTCGCTGGTTTTTGCCATTGAAAATGGAAATTCCTTTAGTACCTTGATTGGAAAATAAGGACCACCGCAAATGATATCCCATAGCTCACAATCCTCAGCCATGATGAAATTGTTCATTCTAGATTTCCACCACCAATAGCATTGTCCATTAAACTTGGGGGGTCGGTATATGTATTGACCTTCTTCAAAATTTGGTGGAGCCGCCATGAGAATCCTTCCTAGGTGTTAGCCTGATAGGAGGAACCCGCTCTGATACCAATTGTTAGTTTGTATGGGTTCACCAAATCATAGAGTACCTGGTCCTCTACAAGATTCTGCTGAGAATGCTAATAAAACAGTACGTAAATAAGGTAGAGGATTTTTACGTGAAAAAATCCCACACAAGGGGATCAAAAAACCACGACCTACACTGTAGGCTTTTAACTTCACTAACTTGCAATCTACCTATTACAAGCCACTTTGCAATGATTCCTATTGTAAAGGATTTACTCAACTAACTTGTGGTACTCTTACCACAAGCCACTTTGTGACTTCCTAGTTACAAAGGCTTTTTCTAACTTGTGATGCTCTCACCACAAGCCACTTTGTAACTCTACAATTACAAAGACTTTTCCTTATGACTAAATCTAGTCACAACATAAACTCAAGGAGTTTACGGATTTACAAGAGGATTCCTAATCAAACGCTTCTAGGTAAGCAGTTTAGGAGATACAATAAGTACAATAACAAGGTTACAACTCAACTAGGGTAACAACAGGCTATCTTTTAGGAACTGGTCCGTAGTTGCATTCAACCTTGTTCTTCAAGCTTGTGAGGATTGATTTCTCTGTTTTTTTGCAAGAAGCTTAAATAAGAAACAGAAACCTTCCAGTGATGTTTTGTATAAAACTCATTGTGGGTACATCTTGATCACATCACATGAAATGATGTGAGTACTTTGTTTGATTAGAGAATGAGTGGGCGGACAGTGCAGTGCGGCAGAAATGGTGCCGTCGGTCACTTCATTTCCAGCTGTGTCCAATTGACTCTGTACTGCTATGAGGAAACCACAAGAGTATCAGGTCCTTGTGTGAGTTCCTAGCTCCTGAAGTTGTAGCAGTTCACCTTTAGTTGAAATCCGTTAAAGCTTGCAGCAGTCCAAGTAGGTCAGATTCCCTATCTGGTTCTTAACAGTAAGTTTGTTAGATCATCAAAACATAGGCAAGAGTATTTAAAATCTATCAAATAAATATTAAGTTCTATACTACGATATAAGTAGACAAATCAAATAACTTTTTTAAACCTTTTTCGTATAAAAACATTCCTCAATATATGTTTTTTTTAAAAAGATAAAGTGATGGACTCGTTATGAGGGTATTTTTGTTAAAAAATAATTCTTTTAGAAATTGTGAATGCTTTAATACATCAAAGCAAACAATAGATAAGAAATATGTAAGCATAATCAATACCAGCATAACTAATACAAATATAATTAATACCACCATTATTAATATGCCTTATTCAGCAATATTCTTATACGCTCTACCAAACGACCCCTAAGGCTGGTAACCGGGGCAACAAAGAAAATCAGCTCCTAGGAATTCCACTAATTAAGTACTCCCTCCGGTCCACAATAAGTGACCAATTCACTTTTTTATTTTGGTCCAAAATAAGTGTCCATTTATGTAATCAAGGAAGAATTCAATTTGCTTTTACAAAATTACCTTTATGTACATATTCCTAAAAAGTTTTCTTACTCCTCACATTAAATATTTAATTAAGGGTAATTTAGTCATACTAGGTATTTTTGTATAGAATTTAGTATTTCTTAATGGGCGTGTCAAAAGCAAATTGGTCACTTATTGTGGACTGGAGTATATTTATATTTTGTTTTGCCATTGGTTGGCTCACTTGCTTTTGGCAATTGATCTCATTACTTAATTACGTTGTTGTAAACCCCACCCACCCCCTCCCCCCTCCAAAAAAAAAAAAAAAAAATAGAACAAAACTTGTATTTATCCACTAGGAACAGGACCAAGTGAAGTATTTCTTTAAAATTAATGAGTAATAGGCTAATTCTAATTTTGATTCAAAACATTAAGTTAAAAAGTATAACATCTTTTAAAAAAGAGAATTATTTAGCTAATGTGATTGATGGTCACTGAAGGATAACTCACATTTAATACTTTTTTTTTCTTTCAAAGAGGCGCTGATGGCGGCGATCGATTCTCCATCCCGACTTGGTGGGGTATAAAACCTTAGCCTGCGTTCTTTTTTATTCAATCATTTACATAGGAAAAGTGTAAATTTTAATTTTAAAATATTTAATTTATATTTAAGATTAAAGATTAATCAAATCGACTCTCCAAAAATAAAAAGTGCCACAAAATTAATTAAAACAGAAGGAGTATTTTATATGTATAAAAAAAATAGGAAAAATAAAAATACACTAAGTGTATATATATAATCTTGAATATATTGGCGAAATATTTGACATTGCCACTGCCTCACTCTTCACCTACCAAAAAGTTATAATTAATAGTATTAGTGGGGATTAATTTCGAAATTAAATTTAAGATGAACTTATTCCATACTTGGTTGAGATACAATTGTGATATAACTAATTTTAGAATTAATTATTTTAAAATTATAATTATTTTTTATTTTTATAAGAAGATGTAATAATTAATTTCGAAATAATTAATTATAGAATAATTTGTTTCGCAACCAAACGAGCCCCGTACGTTTCATTCTGAACAAAGGTCAAGCTAAAGCAAGTCCCAACAAAAAACTAAGACGGCAGTAGTAAAGGCCGCAGTAAAGTGAACCGACTTTATTATTAAAGAACTGACTGTTCCCATCTGAAAATTGAGTATAAATTTATACTAGTTTCCTTTACCTTCCGAGAACACGCGGAAAAAAGATTTTGACTGACGCAAATTGGATATATGAATTGATACCTTTTTTGTCTTCTTCTTTTTACATTTTAGAAGTAGGATTCTTTAATGAGCTTTCTAAGCGCCTTCACATTTTGGATTTTACCAGTCTTTGCAAATATTTTAGAATTGATTGTTTTATGACGGTGAATAACTTCAAAAAGATTTCACACGTCATACTGTTAATTATCTAGCAAGTTATATAAAAAGTTAAATATCTGGATCTTGCATATAAAGTTCAAAAAATATGACATTCATGACATAATAATCTGTGTATGTAGTAAGAAAATAATTAGTTTATCAAAAATACATGGCCAATGTCATGAATTATCTTGGTTAAATAATGGTTTATCATATACAAAATAGTACATTCAAATTGGATTTATGAATGATTATTTATGTACATGGATGCTATATACATTAATTTAGTTACATCCATATAATTTTATTAAACAAACGTAAAGAGAGGTAAAACGATGAAGATCAAAACTTTGTATTGAAAATTTTACATACCTAAGAATTAACTTTTATTCGTTTGATATTAATATAGAGATCGTAAAAAATCCGTTTGTCCTGCATTGAAGTGTTATACATTGGAAATTATGAAGCCAAAAGATCGAGATTTAATAAAGTATAGTATTTGTTAGAACGTAAGGTTGATTGCATAACAGCTAAAGATATGTTTTTCTTGGAATTGTTTTCTTTCGGTTTGCACATCGACCAGCAAATTATTTTAGGAATTAAATATGAATATAGTAATAGAAAAAGTGTGTGTGGCACTAGCTAGTTTTCTTAGATGGAGCCTGGCCTTTAGGCTTCGTCCAGGGCGGAGCTAGAACACGACATACGGGTTCGATCGAATCCAATAATTTTTGTCCCAATAGATTAGATGTTCAAATCCATAAATTTTAAGTTGTGACCCTATCTCTGACTTCATCCCATGACGAAAGTGAAATTAGTATTTGAAATTTATGAATTTTGAATTTGACATCGAATTCATAATTGATCTTTATTATTGGGTTCACAAATAAATAAATAAATAAATATATGTATATTTATAACAAAAAAAGTTACAGAATTTGTTCGAACCAGTAAAAAATATACTAGCTCCGGCAGTGGCGGAACCACATGCACCCAAGGGGTATCCGACAGCCCTTCATCGGAAAATTATACTGTGTAACTGAGTAATTTTTAATATATATATATATATATATATATATATATATATATATATATATATATATATTGATACCCCTTAACTTTTTGGTGATTTATTTCTTATATTTTAACTTTTCTTAATAAAAATCCTGACTCCGCCATTGAGCTTCGATCCTCACTAGTCTCTTTTACAGTAGATAAAGACAGTGGCTATATGGCTCTCATCGCTTACCAAAACTACAAGAGTTCCCTTTTCTAGTGTATTTTAAATTGAGTGAATGGTCAACTTTGAACCCTTAATAAGCAAGTTGTAGTAATAGCGGTACAATTACAGCACAAAAGTCCATAGTTTTTAATCTTACAAATCATATGACGTGCAACTTAGTTTCCTCAAAAAACGTGGGTACTAAAGTGAAATATCCTTGTTTTAAACGTACCCCAAAAGATACTATAAAGAATGTTTTTACGCGTGGTGTGCCCTAGAAGGAAACAGCACTAGTCACACATAGTAATATATTTATGTCCATTTCTGAACCAAAATATAATAAAAACAAACCGCCATCAACAATTAAGCATGAAGCACCACCTCAAACACCAACTTTAGTACACCTTATTGACAACACAAAAATCTTAACTCCTAAGATTACTAAAAAAAATCTTTAACCGACCAAGAAAACATGCAAAAATTTAATTAAATACTTGCTATATAACCATCACACTTTGTGTTCCCTCCAAGCCTAACGCCACTTCCATATTTCAAAAATGGCCACAAACTCTACTTCAAAAAATCCCTCTTTTGAAGCCAATATTGATGCCTACTACGAGAATTGGCTTATCCAACTAGAAAATTTTCTTGAAAAGCTAAATGAAGTTTCAGCCTCATATGATGTTTTCAATGAAGAAAATATAAGCAAATTGGTGACACAAGTTTTGGATCATTACCAAGAATATTATCAAGAAAAATTCAAGGCAACAAATGGAGATATATTTCTTCTTAATTCTCCACCTTGGTATACTTCTTTAGAAAGAACGTTACTTTGGATGGCTGGTTTTAAACCTTCTATGCTCTTTCCTACAATTAATTACTCAATAGGTCAAGAATTAACACCAGAGCAAGGCGAAAAATTGAAGAGGCTAAAATCAGAGATTAGAAGAGAAGAGAAGGTAAATTAGAGACACTCCTCTCAGGCCTAACTATTTTTAATTTCTTTTTATGAGTCAAACACATGAAAATATTTTTATTTTTTTAACGATGGTGCGCGCAATTTTCTCTATCCTGATATCATGTTGAATTGTATAACAGGTAATTGAAAATCTAAAATAGCTGGAATTAATTACTTAATTATATAATGTTTCGAACAGGCAATTGAAAAAGGGATGGCGAAGGTTCAAGAAAGCATGGCGGCGCCGCCGATATTTGAGCTGATGAAAAGAGGGGGATTTCTTGTTGATGGGGAAGCTTCGGAATTGGAAACTGTAATTGATGGGCTGAAACAGTCGATGATGGCGGTGATTGAAACTGCGGAGCATCTCCGAGGAGCGGCGGTGAGGAAGGTTCTAGATATTTTACCGCCGAAGCAGGCGGTGAAGCTATTAGCGGCGGTGGCTCAGTTTCATCTTCAGGCCAGAAAGTGTGGTTTACGAATGGATAATCAGAGTGGTACAAGAGTAAATGAAGATTTTATCCATTGAAAATTTCATAAATTTTATCCCCTTACTTATATTTTTTTTGACTTGGCTCGATATATTTTTTCCTTTAGTTGTAGGAATTTATCCGCAGTGGAATTTAGTTTCTGCTTTTAGAAAAATGCAGTAAAATGTGTCAGTTGACTGTTCTTTTGATATTTTGAAGAGTACCAGGAAACTGGGGATTTAATCACTTTCTATTTTCCTTTATCTCTGCGTTTATCAAATTAATTACTTTTCTGGCTTACAATGAATTTATATCATTTATAATTGTTGCAGTTGCTTAAGTTTATTATCAAAATATTAACATAGAGAGATAAAACAGAGAACTTTTTTCACAGGTGAGCACTAGGAAAATATAAGCACACTCTCGATCGGTGGAAAAACTTCGTTTAATATGTTAAATAGATGTGAAGCGCTGTTGTCTTATACGGTTAGACCTCTTTATAATAACACTTTACTAGAACAGTTGAGTGTCTTTATGACAATACTTCGGTTAGGATTTATAGCTTAGAAAAGGGAAATTACTAGCTATGTCACTCTACAAATTTTTTTAATAACAAATAGCCCAAAACAAAATATCTACTAAAAAAGGTCCAAATATCATTTTTGGCCCAAATAGTTTTAATTAATGTCAGTTTTTTTGTATCCGTTATTTTTCGTATAGAAAACCGAGTTTTCTCTCTCTTTCTCTATATCTCTCACTCTCTCTGTCTCTCTCTCTCCTTCTGCGATTTTTTCCAAAATTCAACCAAAATTGCTGACATTGACGACAAAACAAGATACATTTCGGTTATTTTCGTCTGATTTCAGGTAATTTTGAGTAGAAAACCTCTTATTTTGTATATTTTTCTGATTGCATATGGGACGTTGCTTTTCTTTAGGCTTTTGCGACTGATTTTGTAAGTTTGGTCGAGTTTTTGTATTAATTTCTTCACAAATTTCTGTAACCTTTTGTTCGTATATTTTTTTTTAAATTTTATCATTGAACCTAGTTTCAATTTTGAAACAGAGCAATATGAGAAGACAAACTCGTTCGATGAGTTCATCACCTTATTCATAGTCGGTTTCAATTGAGAAATCGAGCAACATGAGAAGAGAAACTAGGTCGATGAGTTTATCTCCTCATTCAACCCTGGTTTTAGTTGACAAATCGATTGATGAACAAAATATGCAAAGACAAAATCATTCCGACAGTGTTAATGTGTTAGAATCTCGAAAGGATATTGTTGGAAAATCTGAGAAAAAGAAGAGCAAGAGGGTTATAATGGATGCTGATCAAGGTAAGAGAAAACGTGTCGTGGAGGACGAAGTCAATTTGGGTGTCAAGCCAAAAAAAAACAAGGTTCAGAAGGCAGAAAAAGTTGAAATTCCTGACAAAGTTTGTAAGGTATATACAATTTCAGTTATACTTTTTTCTATTGTTGACTCTTCTTTTAAAATTTGGATTTAGTTTGTATTTGTTTGTTTTTAATTCGTGTCATGTATTTGTGGCATTGGAAGCTCTATATTCCAGTTGGTGAGCCGTTTCCTGTTACTCATTGGTCATCATACACTAATGTGGATATTGTATCGGTTTTACGGTCAAAGTTGACAGATGTCCAGCTTCGGATGTTTAGGGAAAGCTGTTTTGACTATTTCCTTGATTTACCTCGAGTTGCTATCCAGGCACAACTTATTCGTTCTTTAATGTTTAGGGAGTTGGTTCAAGATAAGTGTGATCAATTTTATGTGAAATTGAATGACGAATGTGTTTTACGTTTGGTCTTCGAGAATTTGGTATTGTAAGTGGTATAACCTGTTGTGGTAATGAACATGTTGAGGGTAAATTCAGTGGACCCAATAGGTTGGTGGATACTTATTTTTCTGGTTTTGAAGTGGTGTCAAAGAAGTCACTTATTGATTATTTTGAGAAGAAGAAATGGCAGTTTGATGAAGACGCAGTTAAGATTGCAATCATTTATTTCATAAACACTTTTCTAATGTCCACTCAGGCTCAGAAGACATTTATAAGTAAACTTGATTTCCATCTTGTCGAGAGTGGTGAGTATGTGTCGTTTCCATGGGGTAAGATTGCGTTTCGAGCTTTAATGAAGTCGATGAGGGACAGGTTGAGGGGAAAGTCTAAGTTTTATAGGATTGGTGGATTTCCTCTTGCACTACAGGTGTGGTTCCTTAAATATCCCGGCCAAAAAACCGAGGATCTCCTGGCCAAAAAACCAAGAAGCTTTTTCTTTCCAAATCCCGGCCAAAAACCAAGGATCTCCCGGTCAAAAAACCGAGGAGCTTATTCTTTCCAAATCCCGGCCAAAAATCGAGGATCTCCCAGCCAAAAAACCAAGGAGATTTTTCTTTCCAAATCCCGGCCAAAAACTGAGGATCTCCTGGCCAAAAAACCGAGGAGCTTTTTCTTTCCAAATCCCGGCCAAAAAACCGAGGATCTCCCGGCCAAAAAACCGATGAGCTTTTTCTTTCAAAATCCCGGCCAAAAAATCGAGGATCTCCCGGCCAAAAAACCGTGGAGCTTTTTCTTTCCAAATCCCGGCCAAAAAATCGAGGATCTCCCGGCCAAAAAACTGAGGAGCTTTTTCTTTCCAAATCCCGGCCAAAAACCGAGCCATAAAACCGAGGAGCCTTTTCTTTCCAAATCCCGGCCAAAAAACCGAGGATCTCCCGGCCAAAAACCGAGGATCTTTTTCTTTCCAAATCCCGGCCAAAAAACCGAGGATCTCCCGGCCAAAAACCGAGGAGCTTTTTCTTTCCAAGTCCCGGCAAAAAAACCGAGGAGATTTTTCTCTCCAAATCCCGGCCAAAAAAACCGAGGATATCCCGGCCAAAAAACCGAGGAGCTTTTTTCTTTCCAAATCTTCCGGCCAAAAAACCGAGGATCTCCCGGCAAAAAAACTGAGGAGCCTTTTTCTTTCCAAATCCCGGCCAAAAAACCGAGGATCTCCCTGGCAAAACCTAAGGAGCTTTTCTTTCCAAATCCCGGTCAAAAACCGAGGATCTCCCTGGCATAACCCAAGGAGCCTTTTCTCTCCAAATCCCGGCAAAACCCGAGGGTCTTTTTTCTTGCCATCCCGGCATAACCCGAGGCCCCTTTTCTTTTCCGGCATAACCCGGCCATTTCCCAACATAACCTGGATTCATTCACAAGGATACACAATCCTGATTTNATTTCTAATGTCCACTCAGGATCAAAAGATATTTATAAGTAAACGTGATTTCCATCTTGTCGAGAGTGGTGAGTATGCGTCGTTTTCATGGGGTAAGATTGCGTTTCGAGCTTTAATGAAGTCGGTGTGGGACATGTTGAGGGGAAAGTTTGAGTTTTATAGGATTGGTGGATTTCCTCTTGCTACAGGTGTGGTTCTATGAATGTTGCACTGTAGTTGATCAAAAGTTTGTTGTTCGCGTTGGAGATCATACACCACGCATATTTAATTGGGAAATGACAAACAGGCCAAATCGTGAGGACTTCTCTACTGGTTTCTTCAACAGCACAGGGAATAAGGTACCATCTTTCATGTCTTGATGGGATATACATTTATAATACACTGTAATTCATTATGATACATCAAACATACAGTTTTTATACATCTTTGATACATCTAGGACTGAATCACTTTTGGTCACCTTTGTAGTTTAAAAATATCTCTCCGACAATTGAAGAGCTAAGGAGATTTACTTTTCCTGTTGAAGTTACCGATGAGTATCAGAAATATTTGACATCACGTAACAGGGAAAAACTTCCTATTGATGATAGCGATGATTTTGTCACGCCACCCCCGAAACACATTAAGGAGCCTGTCCCACCAAAAAAAGCGCCAAAAAATGCGCCACGTGTCCAACCTGTTGATAGTGACCGTGAGTTGCAGAAGTTGATAGCTGATGTGAAGCAAGTATGTATTGGTCTTTTTTATATATTTTTTTGAAAGTATTGTTCAAATTGTATATTTAAAGTCTATTATCTTTCTTATTTGTTTCATCTTGTAGCTCCATAAGCAGTTAAATTCCTTCATGGATTATGTTGCTGATAAATTCAAGGAGCTCTTTGAGTTGATAAATTTCAAGGTATGTGTTTCTTTTCCATTGTGCATTTCTTTTTATATTTTAGTTAACTTACTATATCCTTTTTTAAAAAATAGCTTGGTGCAAGCGAAGTCAAATATGGTGCACATCCAGAGGAAGACACCAGTGGTCGTCAAGACAATAATAATTTTGTGAGCAATATGGAGTTTGGTGGCAATGAAGATGCTGAAATGGATGGTTGTCAGGTGTGTTTAGTTGTGCATTCTGCACTTTCCCCTTTTCTTTTCTTTGTTGTTTTTGATAATTCGATTCTTTTTAAAAAAAAATAGGTCGGTGGAAGTGAAGGCAAATATGTTCCACATTCTCAAATAGATACTAGTGTAGCAGATCAGTTAGGTGTCAAGCTATGGAAGGACCTTCTGGTGTGAAAGTTGACATGTTTGTTGCTAAAGTAACTTTCACACCAGATGTAGCACATGCTGGCGTTATTTGTGAGATTGCAGATGCGGCGGCAGGGGAGACGGAGGAAGAATCTGAGAAACAAAAGGTTCCTGAATCCCGGACTGGTGTTGTTTGTGCGACTGCAAGTGTTGATGCAGCGGCAGGGGAGACGGAGGAAGAATCTGAGAAACAAAAGGTTCCTGAATCCCGGACTGGTGTTGTTTGTGCGACTGCAAGTGTAGATGCGGCGGCAGGGGAGACGGAGGAAGAATCTGAGAAACAAAAGGTTCCTGAATCTCGGACTGGTGCTGTTTGTGCGACTGCAAGTGTTGATGAGACAGCAGGGGAGATGGTTCTGTACAATGCTGAATTACTTCCTGAAGTATCGCCGCAAATGGAAAAAAGAAAGAGTTGTCCTGCAAAGGCCGCGCAGTCTCCGTTCATTACTGTGTTTGATTCAGGTTCCAGTACTGGTGTTGTTGCAGCGAAAGGAGAAAGGCAAATTATTCTATTAAGCATCCTTTTCAAAGCAAAATCGGAACTGGCGTTAACAACTCTTTGTTGAATGTATTTGCTGCGTGGGTCAGAGAAGGGAAGTCCAGAAAGAAGTATGTTTCCAACTTCTGAGTTTTTTTCAGTTTTATATTTTAAGATATTGTCACTTATAGCATTATTTTATATCAAATTACTGTACTCTTTTGTGTATATATGTTACCAGGAATGAAATTTACCCGAAGCATGTTAGTGAACTCAATCATGCTTATGATCTTGGTGTATTTCATGTTGACAACAAAAAATGGTTTTACACTTTGGCATATAATGGTCAGCCTTGGATGACCCGGTATGTAAGAATTAACTTTTGCAGTTTTTTTTTGAATTTTAGCAAGTGTACACATGAACACTCAGTCCTCTTAAGTTAGAACAGATTATTAATTGCTATTTCCTGGCACAAGAGATAACAGTGAGCATTCATTTCCCTTTGTTTTCTGTGATTTTGGTTTGAAAAACCGTAGCTGTTTGAAGCTTACGAGCCTTTAGTGATTAGTTATTTGTTATGGGTTTTTTCAGCACATTGATGTTTTGTTCTATTATTTGAGGAAGAAGGGGAAGTATGACAAAGACCTACCTGTAACATTCACCACCACAGATTGGTACTTCGACGAGAAAATTAATGAGTTGTGGCAGGCGTTTATTGATACAGATGGAGATAGTGATGTGTGCACTCTAGAACATATCATTGCAGAGTATTCAGGGGTTTGTCTTGGATGCCAATGTTCCATGGCACACTGTCGGGCATGTCTTAATGCCAACTAATATTGCAGAACAATGGCATTGGATAATGGTTGTGATGTCCTTCAAGGATAGGTGCATTTATGTGTATGACTCTATGCGCGGTGGAGCTGCTCATCAAGCCAAAGTTCATAAGACCATGGCCAAGTATTCTGTGTTGCTGCCTCATTTTTTTATGCACACGCATTTCTATTTAAACAAAAAAGATATCAATTGGCGCACTGGTGTCTACAAATCAAAAGACTTGATTACCCCCTTTGATGTAAAACTGGTCGAAGGATTGCCTCAACAAGTCGAAGCGTATGAATTTCTTTCAACACAATCTGTCTTGTTTTTAGATTCTGCAGTTTGATAGTTGTTGTTCTTTTTATTTTTGCAGTGATTGCGGTGTATTTGAGGCATCATTTGCCGAGTATTTCATTGAGGGCAAGATGCCTCCTAAAAGATTCAATGCCTATGCATACCGGCGTAGATTTGGTGCTCTCTTGTGGGATTATGCTAGAAACAAGATGGAACTGAACGCGCAAAGTGATGATGAGATTATTGGTCGACAGAATAAGTCGCGGAAGCAGAAGAAGTAGTTACTTTTGTCATTGTTGTAGGATGAACTCTATAATTTTGTTTTCGTATTGTGTTCTGTTATGTTGTCATTGTTGTAAGACGGATCAGATTTGTTTGTGTTTGAATTTTACGAATACTTTTAAGAATTGTATGGCAAATAAGATGTTTGCTCTGTTATAAAGGTTTAATGAGTTTCAGTGCGATATTGGATTATTGCAGTTTAGTTTATTTTGGTGTTTTCTCCCTTGATTTTGTGTTATGAATTATAGATATGAAAAATATACGGTAGTTTGTGATACATTGTCTCTTGCAGATACATGCATGATACATACATGATACAGATATGATACACATATGATACATACATGATACACATATGCTACACAGTTTTCAAATATGTATTGATGAAGCCACTCTTATTTGCAAATTTCTAAAACTATTTGCATAGTTTTCTACCTGCTACGACTATTTTCCATTAGTTAGCTTTGTTACTACACAAATACAGGCATGAGTAAGAGCCAATAGACAGAGATACATAGGTGATACACAAGCGATACATAGATGATACAAATGTGATGCACAAGCGATACATATATGATACAAATATGATACATAGCTGATACAACTTCTTTTTAATCAAACAGATGTATAATATAAACTTGCAACACGATTTTAATTGATAGGTCAAATATTTATTTATATCTAAAATTCAAATGACATTCTACAATGATATAGTTCTTGATATATTGCATTCTTCTAAATCTCTATGATATTCAGTAAAGTAAAATAACAAGTAATTCTAAATTTGACATATTTCATCCTCTGTTTGGATTATTTCTACAAGTTTTCCTGTTGCGACCTTCTTCTCCACACTGTCCACATGAAATCGACCTTTTTCGTTCCCTTTCAGATATTGGCTTGCACCTCCCCTTCCTTGGCCTTCCTATTGTTTTAGTCACGTCTGGAAGCAAGACTTTTTCATTTAGAACTTCTGCAGGAATTTCCCATGTGTTTTCATCAGGAACCGGATAAATTGGAATTTCATAGGTCTTCAATAGGTAATTCGTGGTGTAGTACACCGAGCAATACTCAATGTGATCAATGTATTTGTATTTTAATACTGCCCAAGCATCTGCACATGGCAGCTCATCCAACTGAAACCTTCTACAGCTGCAAGTTCGATCTTTTAGGAACACCATTCTCTGCTTACCCTTGTCAAGTACTGAATATAAGTAACTTGTCGAAGGGGTCACCTACAAAATTTACACAGATCCGTGAAATTCGGCATGATTACATATTCTATGCGCAAGTATCACAGATTCAAGCCATACCTTCATCTGATGTGACAATTCAAGATTGTCCATCAGCATTGTATCATATTTTTTTCCAAGATTAGTGAATGACTCTACTGCATTCTTTAGGTTTGTAACATTCCATCGTCCGATCAATTTCCTTATGTAGTCTAGCAAAGGCAGTAGTGGGAGTTCCCTAGCAGCCTTGAGTGCTGCATTGATCAACTCCACAATGTTTGAAGTCATCGTCAATGTTCTGTTGACAGTGGAATGTGCTCTGGACCATCTTTCATACCCAACATTCATTAAGTAATCTTTGACCCTCTTATCAACTTCTCTACCTCTGCCATGTGGTAATCAAACTTCTCAACTGTGTATGCTTTGGCCATAGCAAAGAATATGTCTTTGAGCAGCAAATGGTTTTTTTTGTAATTTTTTTTACATTATTCCATAGATGCCATATGCAGACACAATGAGGTACTTGTGGATACAATGTTGCCGCTGCATTTTCAATGCCTTCATGCCTGTCCGAGACTATGCACATTCCCCCCTTTCCCCAAATGCATCCTTGAATCTCGCAAAAAACCACTCCCAGGAAGCATTATTCTCTGAATCTACTCTGGCATATTCGAGTGGTAGGATATTACCTGCTGGATCTTGTGTTGATGCTATCACTAATGTTCCTCTATATGCCGATTTAAGAAAGGTTCCATCTACAAAAACAACCGATTTGCAATACTGCCATCCTTTTATAGACGGATATAGTGCAACGAAAGCATACATGAACAAATCTTCCTCTGTTTTTTTCAAACTTACCACCGACATAGGATTTGTAAGAACCAGCATATAAAAGTAGCTCGGCAGCTTTTCATATGATTCGCTCGGGTTCCCTCTCAGTACTTGAACTGCATATTCTTTCGATCTCCATGCTTGCATATATGTCATCTGAAGACCATACTGCTTGTTCTTGTCTTCAATTATGTCATTAGGAGTGTATATTGTTTTTGGGTCTTTATACTTGTCTATCAAAAGGCTGTCGATGAGTTTTGCAGTAGCTTGACGTTGTGCGTAAGATCTGTCTTTCAGGGGGCATGAGTGCACCAATCATAGTTGTTGTTGATGCATACTAGGCAGTACCTACGACAAGGATATAAACTTTTCCATCAATAAACAGAGCGACATGAAATACAATGATATATAGTGATACACACCGCCATCAACAATACTAGATGAAAAAATACAACAACTATATAGTACTAGACGGTGACAACCACAACTTAAAAGTGTAATACAGCCACATACTTACAAGCAACAACTTATTTTCTGCATAATTATGCTTCTAACATCAACTACGATATACATTGAGATACATAATTATACAATAAATATTTTGATACCTGCTTTCACTTGATCTATGCACCTTAAACTGAAATTTTTCCTTTACCGCCAAGTGCCTCATGACTTTGATTATCGTTGCTTTGTCTTTATAAATTTGACCTTCTTCTACATCTATGTGTTGAGGGTTAGTTATTATTATATTTTCATCAGATTCTGTATCATTCCAGTCTTCTCCATCCCCAAACTCGATCATCTTACTTGTATCGCCATTGTATCTCTCCTCTACAACTGAGCTTTGTGCACATTCTGAGGAAATCACAGTAGAATTGAAATTGTAGCAGATCATCTCCATATCCTTTTCACTCGATGTTATACAAAGGGGATACATTGTAAATTCTGAGCTTTTTTCAGCTCAAGATCTACACATACACCCATACTATTGAATATCACTATTGGCGGAGAACCGTTTTGGACAGTGTATTTGATTTCAATATCATTCAATGAAGTATCTATCATAAGTTGTTTCGAAATCACGTTTACAAAAACTTCAAAACTTATATTTGGAGTAACTATTACAGCATCTGCATTAT